TGTAATGTTGCTGTAACCTAAGACTGTAGTGTGTAATGTTGCTGTAAACCTAAGATGTAGTGCTGTAATGTTGCGGTAACCTAAGACTGTAGTGCTGTAATGTTGCTGTAACCTAAGACTTTTGTGCTGTAATGTTGCTGTAACCTAAGATGTAGTGCTTTTAATGTTGCTGAAACCCTAAGACTGTAGTGCTGTAATGTTGTTTGTAACCTAAGACTGTAGTGCTGTAATGTTGCTGTAACCTAAGACTGCAGTGCTGTAATGTTGCTAAAAACCCTAAAGACTGTAGTGCTGTAATGTTGCTGTAACCTAAGACTGCAGTGCTGTAATGTTGCTGAAAACCTAAGAACTGTAGTGCTGTAATGTTGCTGTAACCTAAAGACTGCATTTGCTGTAATGTTGCTGTAACCTAGACTGTAGTGCGTAATGTTGCTGTAACCAAAGACTGTAGTGCTGTAAAGTGCTGTAACCAAAGGGACTGTAGTGCTGTAATGTTGCTGTAACCTAAGACTGTAGTGCTGTAATGTTGCTGTAACCTAAGACTGTAGTGCTGTAATGTTGCTGTAACCTAAGACTGTAGTGCTGTAATGTTGCTGTAACCTAAGACTGTAGTGCTGTAATGTTGCTGTAACCTAAGACTGTAGTGCTGTAATGTTGCTGTAACCTAAGACTGTAGTGCTGTAATGTTGCTGAAAACCTAAGACTGTAGTGCTGTAAAGTTGCTGTAACCTAAGACTGTAGTGCTGTAATGTTGCTGTAACCTAAGACTGTAGTGCTGTAATGTTGCTGTAACCTAAGACTGTAGTGCTGTAATGTTGCTGTAACCAAAGGGCTGTAGTGCTGAAATGTTGCTGAAACCCTAAGACTGTAGTGCTGTAATGTTGCTGAAACCTAAGACTGAAAGTTGCTGTAATGTTGCTGTAACCTAAGACTGTAGTGCTGTAATGTTGCGTAACCTAAGACTGTAGTGCTGTAATGTTGCTGTAACCAAAGACTGTAGTGCTGTAATTGTTGCTGTAACCTAAGACTGTAGTGCTGTAATGTTGCTGAAAACCTAAGACTGTAGTGCTGTAAATGTTGCTGTAACCTAAGATTTGTAGTGCTGTAATGTTGCTGTAACCAAAGACTGTAGTGCTGTAATGTTGCTGTAACCTAAGACTGTAGTGCTGTAATGTTGCTGTAACCAAAGACTGTAGTGCTGTATGTTGCTGAAAACCTAAGACTGTAGTCCCTGTAATGTTGCTGTAACCTAAGACTGTAGTGCGAAATGTTGCTATAACCTAAGACTGTATTTGCTTAATGTTGCTGTAACCTAAGAACGTTAGTGCTGTAATGTTGCTGTAACCTAAGACTGTAGTGCTGTAATGTTGCTGAAACCCTAAGACTGTATTTGTGTTAATGTTGCTGTTAACCTAAGACTGTAGTGCTGTAATGTTGCTGAAAACCTAAGACTGTAGTGCTGTAATGTTGCTGAAACCCTAAGACTGTAGTGCTGTAAGTTCTGTAACCTAAGACTGTAGTGCTGTAATGTTGCTGTAACCAAAGGGACTGTAGTGCTTTTAATGTTGCTGTAACCTAAGAATGTAGTGCTGTAATGTTGCTGTAACCAAGACTGTAGTGCTGTAATGTTGCTGTAACCTAAGACTGTGTGCTGTAAAGTTGGGCTGAACCTAAGACTGTAGTGCTGTAATGTTGCTTTTAACCTAAGACTGTAGTGCTTTAATGTTGCTGTAACCTAAGACTGTAGTGCTGTAATGTTGCTGTAACCCTTTAGACTGTAGTGCTGTATGTTGCTGTAACCTAAGACTGTAGTGCTGTAATGTTGCGGGTAACTAAGACTGTAGTGCTGTAATGTTGCTGTACCTAAGACTGTAGTGCTGTAATGTTGCTGTAACCTAAGACTGTAGTGCTGTAATGTTGCTGTAACCTAAGACTGTAGTGCGTTATGTTGCTGAACCTAAGACTGTAGTGCTGTAATGTTGCTGTAACCTAAGACTGTAGTGCTGTAATGTTTGCTGTAACCTAAGACTGTAGTGCTGTAATGTTGCGAAACCCTAAGACTGTAGTGCTGTAATGTTGCTGTAACTAAGACTTTTAGTGCTGTAATGTTTGCTGTAACCTAAGACTGTAGATGCTGTAATGTTGCTGTAACTAAGACTGTAGTGCTGTAATGTTGCTGTAACCTAAGATGTAGTGTGTAAGTGCTGAACCTAAGACTGTAGTGCTGTAATGTTGCTGTAACCTAAGACTGTAGTGCTGTAATGTTCCCGTAACCTAAGACTGTAGTGCTGTAATGTTGCTGTAACCTAAGACTGTAGTGCTGTAATGTTGCTGTAACTAAGACTGTAGTTGCTGTAATGTTGCTGAAAACCTAAGACTGTAGTGCTGTAATGTTGCTGAAACCCTAAGACTGTAGTGCTGTAATGTTGCTGTAACCTAAGACTGTAGTGCTGTAATTTTTGCTGTAACCAAAGACTGTAGTGCTGTAATGTTGCTGAAACCCTAAGATGTAGTGCTGTAATGTTGCGTAACCTAAGACTGTAGTGCTGTAATGTTGCTGTAACCAAAGACTGTAGTGCTGTAATGTTGCTGTAACCAAAGACTTTTAGTGCTGTAATGTTGCTGTACCTAAGACTGTAGTGCTGTAATGTTGCTGTAACCTAAGACTGTAGTGCTGTAAATTGCTTGTAACCTAAGCTGTAGTGCTGTAAAGTTGCTGTAACCTAAGACTGTAGTGCTGTAATGTTGCTGTAACCTAAGACTGTAGTGCTGTAATGTTGCTGTAACCTAAGACTGTAGTGCTGTAATGTTGCTGTAACCTAAGACTGTAGTGCTGTAATGTTGCTGTAACCTAAGACTGTAGTGCTGTAATGTTGCTGTAACCTAAGACTGTAGTGCTGTAATGTTGCTGTAACCTAAGACTGTAGTGCTGTAATGTTGCTGAACCAAAGGGACGTAGTGCTGTAATGTTGCGTAACCTAAGACTGTAGTGCTGTAATTTTTGCTGTAACCTAAGACTGTAGTGCTGTAATGTTGCTGTAACCTCTAAGACTGTAGTGCTGTAATGTTGCTGTAACTAGACTGTAGTGCTGTAATGTTGCTGTAACCTAAGACTGTAGTGCTGTAAATTTTGCTGTAACCTAAGACTGTAGTGCTGTAATGTTGCTGAAACCCTAAGACTGTAGTGCTGTAAGTTGCTGTACCTAAGACTGTAGTTCTGTAATTTTTGCTGAAACCTAAGACTGTAGTGCTGTAATGTTGCTGTAACCTAAGACTGTAGTGCTGTAATGTTGCTGTAACCTAAGACTGTAGTGCTGTAATGTTGCTGTAACCTAAGACTGTAGTGCTGTAATGTTGCTGTAACCTAAGACTGTAGTGCTGTAATGTTGCTGTAACCTAAGACTGTAGTGCTGTAAGTTGCTGTAACCTAAGACTGTAGTGCTGTAATGTTGCTGTAACTTAAGACTGTAGTGCTGTAATGTTGTTCTCTAGAACGCTAACGGGTTTAGTACTTTTTCATTAATAAAATAAGTGTGTTGTACGTATTGTATTAAGTCCTCTGTTGTATTTTTGTGTCTTATCTCGTGTTTGTGTTCCTAAAATGTATTGATGTTGTACATAATATACTTTTGAAATGTATTTGTGCAGTGTATTGTATTCATGCTTAGGAAATATTTAATACACACTTCTAGTAGTGGGGCCACGCCCACTGTGATCACTGCTGCAATGTACTCTCCCCCCTTTTCCCCTACCTCACCATTTTTACATTGGGGCTGTATATTAGTTCGATGAACCCCGCTGTCGGGCGAAAACTTTCTTAAAAAGAGGGCCCAGGTGTTGAAATGTGTCTTATTCTCAAGGGTTAATAGCACGGAGAGTCGTTCATTATATCTTGGGTTTGAAGCGTTAGTGTGGTAGTGAGACTCAGAGAGTACACAGTTGATCAGGAAAACTACCTCAGTCATGTGCTACAAACCGCAAAAAAACAAAGTATAAAAACTGACTTCCCTGCCCTTATTTTACCTTCCCTTACCGGTGGTCTGGTGGCTAAAGTCCCGTTTACACAGGGAGGCCCGGGTTCGACCCCCGGGGGTGGAAATTCCGACATTTCCTTACACCTATTGTCCTGTTCACCTAGCAGCAAATAGGTACCTGGGTGTTAGTCGACTGGTGTGGGTCGCATCCTGGGGGACAAGATTAAGGACCCCAATGGAAATAAGTTAGACAGTCCTCGATGACGCACTGACTTTCTTGGGTTATCCTGGGTGGCTAACCCTCCGGGGTTAAAAATCCGAACGAAATCTTATCTTATCTTATCTTAACCTTGCCTGACATTACCTTACCTGACCTTAACTTACCTTACCCTTACATTACTTGACCTGACATTACCTTACCTTACCTTACTTTGCATTACCTAACCTTACCTTACTTTACATTACCTTACCTTACCTTACTTTGCATTACCTAACCTTACCTTACTTTACATTACCTTACCTTACCTTACTTTACATTACCTAACCTTACCTTACTTTACATTACCTTACCTTACCTTACTTTACATTACCTAACCTTACCTTACTTTACATTACCTTACTTTACCTTACCTTACCTTACTTTACATTCCCTTACCTTACCTTACTTTACATTACCTTACTTTACCTTACTTTACCTTACCTTACCTTACCTTACTTTACATTACCTTACCTTACCTTACCTTACTTTACCTTACCTTACCTTACTTTACATTACCTTACCTTACCTTACCTTACTTTACATTACCTTACCTTACCTTACTTTACATTACCTTACTTTACCTTACTTTACATTACCTTACCTTACTGTATACCGCCGATTACAGTAAAATGAAATACAGTAATACCCTCAACAATACAAAGTAGAGAGAGAGGTAGAGGCAGAGGAAGGTGTAGGAAGAGAGAGGTAGAGATACACTGAGGTGGAGGCAGACTGAGGTAGAGGTAGATGGAGGTAGAGGTTCTTACCTGAGGTCAAGAGAGCTCCAGACAGAGGACTCCCGGCGCTTCTTGGTACAAGAGTTACACCACATGTCAAACACCCCGGGTTCCCAGCGATTCATAGGTCGATCCTCCAGGCACTCACACTGGAACCCACCCCCGCCCACCACGCCCCCACCGCCCACACCACCCACGGGCGTGTGCGTGGAGGCTGGCGGCGGTGGAGGCGGGGCAAGGGGCGCCCCTAGAGGTGGGCGTAAGGGCGGGCGTGGTGATCGCGTGGGCGTGGCAGGTACCGTTGGAGGACATGACGCTGAGCAAGAGGCTGTAGAGAGAAAGACACTGGTGTTACTAAGGCAGACACCGGTGTTACTACGGCAGACACTGGTGTTACTACGGCAGACACCGGTGTTACTACGGCAGACACCGGTGTTACTACGGCAGACACTGGTGTTACAGCGGCAGACACCGGTGTTACTACGGCAGACACCGGTGTTACTATGGCAGACACTGGTGTTACAACGGCAGACACTGGTGTTACTACATCAGACACTGAGGTTACAAAGGCAGACATTGGTGTTACTACGGCAGACGCTTTTGTTACAACGGCAGACACTGGTGAAACTACGGCAGACACTGGTGTTACTACGGCAGACACTGGTGTTACAACGGCAGACACTGGTGTTACAACGGCTGATACTAGTGTTACAATTGCAGGCACTGGTGTTACAACGGCAGACACTAGTGTTACTACAACAGACAATAGTGTTATAACGGTAGACCCTGGTGTTACAACGGCAAACACTGGTGTTACAACGGTAGACACTAGTGTTACAACGGCAGACACTGGTGTTACAACGGCAGACACTGGTGTTATTATGGCAGACACTTGTGTTACTATGACAGACACTGGTGTTACTACGGCAGACACTGGTGTTACTACAGCAGACACTGGTGTTACGACAGACACTGGTGTTACATCGGCATACACTGGTATTACTACGGAAGACACTTGTGTTACTATGACAGATACTGGTGTTACTATGGCAGACACTTGTGTTACTATGGCAGACACTGGTGTTACTACGGCAGACACTGGTGTTACTACAGCAGACACTGGTTTTACTACAGCAGACACTGGTTTTACTACAGCAGACACTGGTGTTACTACGGCAGACATTGGTGTTACTACAGTAGACACTGGTGTTACTACATCAGACACTGGTGTTACTACATCAGACACTGGTGTTACTACATCAGACACTGGTGTTACTACAGCAGACACTGGTGTTACTACAACAGACACTGGTGTTACTACAGCAGACACTTGTGTTACTACGGCAGACACTGGTTTTACTACAGCAGACACTGGTGTTACTACAGCAGACACTGGTGTTACTACAGCAGACACTGGTGTTACTACAGCAGACACTGGTGTTACTACAGCAGACACTTGTGTTACTACGGCAGACACTGGTTTTACTACAGCAGACACTGGTGTTACTACAGCAGACACTGGTGTTACTACAGCAGACACTTTGTTTACTACGGCAGACACTGGTTTTACTACAGCAGACACTGTGTTACTACAGCAGACACTGGTGTTACTACACAGACACTGGTGTTACTACAGCAGACACTGGTGTTACTACATCAGACACTGGTGTTACTACAGCAGACACTGGTGTTACTACAGCAGACACTGGTGTTACTACAGCAGACACTGGTGTTACTACAGCAGACACTGGTGTTACTACAGCAGACACTGGTGTTACTACATCAGACACTGGTGTTACTACAGCAGACACTGGTGTTACTACATCAGACACTGGTGTTACTACAGCAGACACTGGTGTTACTACAGCAGACACTGGTGTTACTACAGCAGACACTAGTGTTACTACAGCAGACACTGGTGTTACTACAGCAGACACTAGTGTTACTACAGCAGACACTGGTGTTACTACAGCAGACACTGGTGTTACTACAGCAGACACTTGTGTTACTACAGCAGACACTGGTGTTACTACAGCAGACACTGGTGTTACTACAGCAGACACTGGTGTTACTACAGCAGACACTGGTGTTACTACAGCAGACACTGGTGTTACTACAGCAGACACTGGTGTTACTACAGCAGACACTGGTGTTACTACATCAGACACTGGTGTTACTACAGCAGACACTGGTGTTACTACAGCAGACACTGGTGTTACTACAGCAGACACTGGTGTTACTACAGCAGACACTGGTGTTACTACAGCAGACACTGGTGTTACTACAGCAGACACTAGTGTTACTACAGCAGACACTGGTGTTACTACAGCAGACACTTGTGTTACTACAGCAGACACTGGTGTTACTACAGCAGACACTTGTGTTACTACAGCAGACACTGGTGTTACTACAGCAGACACTGGTGTTACTATGGAAGTCATGTTATGCATCGAAATTAAACATAGACACAAGACATGTGTAAAATAAAATATATATTCTATATTTATTTATTCTGTGTTGGTTTGAAACACTGGAAGCTGAGGTGCTGAAGACAGAGCAAGAATTATATATTTAGTTATGGGGATATTTTTTATTGCATCTTACACATTATTGTCAGAATTTGTGTGTGGAGGTAGGATAGTGGACGTGCTTTTGTAACAAACCTTTCAGTCGACGTTACTATTATGCGTAAGAATTTTTTATGTTTAAATGTTGGTAGACTCTATTGCTTCTCTTGCCTATTACAGAAGGACCCCGCTTATGCAACAGATTAGCTTCCGGACTACTGCTGTAAAGCGAAAATCGCTCTAAAGTGAATCATAACCTTTTTTTCACTTTCAAATGCAATAAAGCTAGGCCTTAAAAACTCATACATAGTACATACATTACTTACCTTAAAATATTGTCATTCTTAACTTATGTGAGTGTTGAATATATTTATGTAGGAAGTCTGAATAAATGAAGAATGGGTGTAATTGAAAACCACTGTCTTAGCGAAATGCTGTAAAGCTAAGCGCTGTAAAGCGGGACTTGCTGGTAATTGGTTAATCAGGTAACACTGACGGGAGACCTTTAAGAGTATGCCTGATTTTCCTCCAAGTTTCGTTTTTTTTGTTTCACTCATAACTCGAGAGCGCCTCATTCAATCAACTTCAAATTTTCAACAGTTATGTATGGTAGCGATGACCACGTTCTTTGAAAAACTGTCATGTTTATGTATCTTATGACCAAAGTTACTGAACCAATTCCCAGCATTTAGGACTGAGGAGACATTGTTCCAAGCTCCCCCCCCCCTAGTCCTTGAAGGTAGGAGGCGGAGGGGGGGAGGGGAGGGTTTATTTTGATGTCTTTTACTAAGTACTGATAAGTAGAAAGTCATTCTGTATTTTAGTATTAGAGTCAATAATAGGCTCCTGTCTACGGTGCTTGTGTTGAGAATGTTATCAGACACTCAGCCTGTCTATGTAGTGTGTGTTGCCAGTATCCTTAACTCAGTGTTACCTTCATTGTAGAAGTTTATAGGAACTTCATCCTCACTTCTGCATGGCAGTAGTTGTTGGATTAGAACTCGAGGGAAGTATTAGTACTCACCTAAGAGTAATCAGTATCGTTAAGCAGCTTAGGCAGGTCGTAGGTAACACCTACACTCTAACATACACACACACACACACACACACACACACAGTGTCCACCCAATATATTATTTATATTATCCCTTGGTGAAGACTGAAATTGGTTGGGCTACAACCTCATGTATATCTGTACATAATAGTAACTTATCAGTGTCTATATAGATCAAGGATCCCCAGCGTGGGGAACAAAAGGGGGTCAGTACATAGTTGAACCTGGTTTTAACCACGCAATGCAATGCTAACCAAGCAGAGGAACAGACTGAACCTGGAAGAGCGTTGTGACTTACCACTAAAGCTCAACAATCACCAACCAAATATCAGTGACCTTGTTGATGATCATCAAATGCGTCCTTCCCATTATAAAAGACTATGCTGAATCTTATGTTTTTATAATTTAAATATTACCTTTATTTTATTTTTATTATCACACTGGCCGATTCCCACCAAGGCAGGGCGGCCCGAAAAAGAAAAACTTTCACCATCATTCACTCCATCACTGTCTTGCCAGAAGGGTGCTTTACACTACAGTTTTTAAACTGCAACATTAACACCCCTCCTTCAGAGTGCAGGCACTGTACTTCCCATCTCCAGGACTCAAGTCCGGGCTGCCGGTTTCCCTGAACCCCTTCATAAATGTTACTTTGCTCACACTCCAACAGCACGTCAAGTATTAAAAACCATTTGTCTCCATTCACTCCTATCAAACACGCTCACGCATGTCTCCTGGAAGTCCAAGCCCCTCGCACACAAAACCTCCTTTACCCCCTCCCTCCAACCTTTCCTAGGCCGACCCCTACCCCGCATTCCTTCCACTACAGACTGATACACTCTTGAAGTCACTCTGTTTCGCTCCATTCTCTCTACATGTCCGAACCACCTCAACAACCCTTCCTCAGCCCTCTGGACAACAGTTTTGGTAATCCCGCACCTCCTCCTAACTTCCAAACTACGAATTCTCTGCATTATATTCACACCACACATTGCCCTCAGACATGACATCTCCACTGCCTCCAGCCTTCTTCTCGCTGCAACATTCATCACCCATACTTCACACCCATATAAGAGCGTTGGTAAAACTATACTCTCATACATTCCCCTCTTTGCCTCCAAGGACAAAGTTCTTTGTCTCCACAGACTCCTAAGTGCACCACTCACCCTTTTCCCCTCATCAATTCTATGATTCACTTCATCTTTCATAGACCCATCCGCTGACACGTCCACTCCCAAATATCTGAATACATTCACCTCCTCCATACTCTCTCCCTCCAATCTGATATCCAATCTTTCATCACCTAATCTTTTTGTTATCCTCATTACCTTACTCTTTCCTGTATTCACTTTTAATTTTCTTCTTTTGCACACCCTACCAAATTCATCCACCAATCTCTGCAGCTTTTCTTCAGAATCTCCCAAAAGCACAGTGTCATCAGCAAAGAGCAACTGTGACAACTCCCACTTTATGTGTGATTCTTTATCTTTTAACTCCACGCCTCTTGCCAAGACCCTCGCATTTACTTCTCTTACAACCCCATCTATAAATATATTAAACAACCACGGTGACATCACACATCCTTGTCTAAGGCCTACTTTTACTGGGAAATAATTTCCATCTTTCCTACATACTCTAACTTGAGCCTCACTATCCTCGTAAAAACTCTTCACTGCTTTCAGTAACCTACCTCCTACACCATACACC